CGAGTCAGCTGCATGGCGCGGAGAGCCCGTGGGAGTGGAGAGGGGGGAGGAGGAGCGTGCCGCCCCGGTGGCGGGGAGGGCCTGTCCGGGGAAGGAGGAAGGATGTGCCAGGAGGGGTGCCCCGGTGGCGGGCAGCGAGGGGGGGGGAGCCCGGTCCCGGGAGAGGTGGGGGGAAGAAGAGGGGGCCTGTCCCGGCAGGCCCGTCGGGAGGGGCGGCGGGTGTCGCCCGGGCGGTACCTGAAGTAGTAGACATCGCTCTTGCCGGCGCTGAGGCCCGACTTGCGGATCACCTCCTCCTTCTTCCAGCCGGGGGGCAGCGCAGGGCAGTCCATCCTTCCCCGTCTCTCCATGCACCGGACCCGGGGCCCGACGCGGCAGCGGGACAGGGCCTCGCCGCAGCGGCGCTATGGTGCCCGGACACGGCCGGGGCCGGGACCCCCTAGCGATGGCGACCGCCGCGCTCTCCTCGGAGTCTGGAGCCCGAGCTGCGCGCGCAGCTGCCTACTCGCCGGGCAGCCGCTTCCGTAACTGAGCCTTGGAACCCGGTGTCATCGGCTCCCGAACGGGGTCATAGAGCGCGTTCTAGGGGGGCCAGAGCGGCCAAGCCGTAGACCACGGAGTCGGCTGCAGAAAGGCCAGAGCAACCATTGAGAGGCCCTGCACGGCTGCCAACGGCAAATGGACCATAGAGAGGAGCCAGGGAAGCTAGTGTCTCAGGAGTTGGAGGCAGTGCTGGATCTGGGGGTGCCGCTGCACCCCCGGCTAGAAGTAGTGCTAGCAGACACTAAATACAGGACATGGTTTCCATCATCCGCACACGCACTATAGAAATTGCTCCCGCACCCCTGGCTGTAGCAAGCTGAACGAGTGATTGTAAAACTCTTCCTAGAGTAGCCAGAGTGCCCGATGCTTGAAGGACCGTAGAATGCTGTAGCATTACCAAGTCCACCCAGATCAAAGAATGCATCCGGGAGCAGCCATAATTACGCAGTTCATAGCCAGGACTCTTAACAGGGCCATCAGTTGGTGGGGAGGAGGGAGAGGATGCTGAACAATTTGCAGCCATAGACATTACATTCAATAGTAATATATTGGGATTATATTTTCCTCATGGTCATCTTAAAATCTATTTTGCATCCTCTGAAATATAAAGTGTCGCAATAGAAGATGGGGTGTTGGCTGGCGGTTTATAACTCAAAAATCCACTTTTTTGTGAATTTTGCTACATGAAAAAAGGATTAAAAAGTAAAGTTACGAATGAACATAAAGAGCTTATTATACATGTTGGAACACAATTTTCCTTACAGCTTTCAGTTCACATGCAGCATGGATAACCAAACCGCTACACGGTCAGGGATGTATACTGGTGATGTACTGCCAGAAAAATGTGTCCCCACTGGATCCTCTATAACCCACAGTGCATATGCTTACAGAGAGAAAGGGAGAAGCTGTTCATTAATTTAGTCTACTGATTTCCTCTTCCCTCCTCCACTCCTGATTTAAACACACATACTTTATCATTGTAACCATAACAGAGGAAGGAGGCAACATCATTAGGAAAACAAACATATTAGCTTTGTATACTGGGAACTTTTATACTACCTATTTGAAAACTATATTGTCTGTGTTAACAGTACACCAGAGTTCTGCTTGGTTACAGCATTGTTGGAAATGGACTGGGGTGGCAGTGGAGTATCCTGCCTTAGGATTTTTTTTTTTTTAAGTTTCTTGCTTTTTTGTACGCCCTGATTCATTTGAAAGTAGACACATTTGCTCTGCTTATTTGTATATATCACAGTAATAAATTGTCTGTAGAAGGGATGATTTAACAGAACCCAAGAAGTGAAGTCTATCACAGTTCAGTAGAATTTTATCATGGGTCTCTTAGGAACCACCAAACGTTCACTACAAATAATCACTGAATATATCCCCATAACTCAACTTCATGGAGTTTTTTAAAGGCCTTCTATGCAGATCTAATTAACCTGAGAAGTGCTTAAAGCTCTATGGTGATGGAGGCGATAGAAAACCCCAAAATAGACATAGAGCTAAAAGTATTCAGACACAAAGGGAACTCAAATGTGAAATTGCAGAAATACTAACTGTGGTATGTAACCTATAATTTAATTCAGCTTCTGTGCCAGATGATGGGAGGTTAGCTAATGTAATGCCAATTTTTTTAAAAGGCTCCAGAGGTGATCCCAGAAATTACAGGCCAGCAAGCCTAACTTCAGTACCGGGCAAATAGGTTGGAACTATCAGACAAAGTTGAACACGATTTGTTGGGGAAGAGTCAGCATGGTTTTTGTAAAGGGAGATCAATTCTTGGAGGGGATCAACAAGCATGTGGACGAGGGGGATCCAGTGAATATAGTGTACTTAGATTTTTTTCAGAAAGCCTTTGACTAGGCCCTCACCAAAGGCTCTTAAGCAAAATAAGCTGTCATTGGATAAGAGGGAAGGTCTTCTCATGGATCAGTAACTGGTTAAAAGATAGGAAACAAAGGGTAGGAATAAATGGTAAGTTTTCAAAAAGGAGAAAGGTAAATAGTGGTGTCCCCCATGGGATCTGTACTGGGACCAGTACTGTTCAACATATTACAAATGATCTGGAAAAGGGGTAAATAGTGAAGTGGAAACATTTGCAGATGATATAAAACTATTTAAGATAGTTAAGTCCAAAGTAGACTGAGAAGAGTTACAAAGGGATCTAGGAAAACTGACAACTGGGCAATAAAATGGCAGTTGAAATTCAATGTTGATAAATGCAAAGTATTGCACATTGGAAAACCTAATCCCAACTCTACATATAAAATGATGGGGTCTAAACTAGCTGTTACCACTGAAGAAAGAGATCTTGGAGTGATTGTGGATAGTTCTCTGAAAACATCAACTCAATGTGCAGCAGCAGTCAAAAAAGCTAACCGAATGTTGGAAATCATTCGGAAAGTGATAGATAATAAGATAAAAAATATTTTATTGCCTCTATATAAATTCATGGTATGCCCACATCTTGAATACTCTGTGTGGATGTGGTCGCCCCATCTCAAAATAGATATATTGGAATTGGAAAAGGTACAGAAAAGGGCCACAAAAATGATTGGGATATGGAAAAGCTTCCATATGAGGAGCAATTAATAAGACTGGGACTTTTCAGCTTGGAAAACAGATGACTAAGGGGGGGAATATGATAGAGGTCTATAAAATCATGATTGGTGTGGAGAAAGTAAATAAGGAAGTGTTATTTACTCATAACACATGAACTAGGGGGTCACCAAATGAAATTAATAGGCAGCTGATTTAAAACAAACAAAAGAAAGTATTTCTTCACACAATGCAGTCAACCTGTGGAACTCTTTGCCTGAGGATGTTGGGAAGGCCAAGCTTATAACAGGGTTCAAAACAGATCTAGATAAGTTCCTGGAGGATAGGTCCATCAATGTCTAGTAGCCAGGATGGGCAGGGATGGAGTCCTTAGCCTCTGTTTGCCAGAAGCTGGGAATGGGTGACGGGATGGATCACCTGACCACCTGATTTATTCATTCCCTCCGAAGCACCCAGCATTGGCCATGGTCAGAAGACAGGGTACTGGGCTAGATGGACCTTTGGTATGGCCGTTCTTATGTTCAAGGGAGAGAAAACAATTTGCCTAGACCTCTCATTTAGCCTTTTGAAATTAATGTAACAGACGATCTGTAGCTGTAGGGAGTCAAAAATAAGAAAGTTAGCACTAGTTGAAGATACACATTACTATCAATGATGTTGCAGCAACAAGACCTAACAAGGAAGACATTCTGACAATGTACTGTAATGTGCCAACAATCTAAATCTTTATTCCAATGATGTCTTCATAATTGATACTTGGGAGAGAAATATATTTCCCTAAATTTCTCATTTCCTAATTTGGAGAAAGATACCTTTATGGTTTTCACACCACTAGAGGTCATCACAGGCTGCCCAAATGAAACATGACTAATAACAAATTAACCTACTGGCTGCATGAGGGCTGTCTCTTGTGATTTTGTAAACTTCTTTTGTATTGACTGTGGTTTTCCAGCCCAACTGGGCTATTTATAACTGACAGTTTTAGGGGTTTCTTTAGCAGTTGCAGGTTGTGTTATTTTGTGCTAATTTGCTTGTAGTGTCAGAAACTTCTCTCTGACAGAATTTGCTGCTTATGTTCTACAGAGCGGGATCACACCAACTGAGCATGCTCAGTAACATCTGCTGAAGCTGCTGCCCTCACTAGGAATCAGATTCTGCTGCCTGCTCTTAACAGGGATTAAAGGGGGCAAATGGGAGGGGAGGTGAGTGGGTGGGCAGGGTTTGAGCAGGGGGCAGAAATTAATTGGCCAGGGGGGTCAAGCAGCTGGAGGCAGGGGCAGGAGAGAGGCAAAATCAGAGGGGGAGTTGCAGGCAGGGTTAAACCCAGGGGTGAGGGGCTGCCAGAGGGTGGCAAAACCCCGGGATGGGGAGGGATAGAGAGGGGAGTGACAGTTACCCTGATGGGATAAGCTACCTGCCATGTGTGCAAAAACAGGGTTAAGGGCAGAGGGGCTTTTTTATTTCCTCTCTCACAGGACAGACTAGGTCTCAGCACAGGCTTCCTAGGGCTGGGTTTTTAAAGGCACAGGCATCCCAATGCCTAGACAGGGCAGCTCCCCTCTATCTGATATACTCACTGATAGACTTGATTCAGTGAAATATTTTACATACACCCCCAAAAACAATGTGTCAAAAAGTCTCATAGCAATTCACAAATTTGTTTTATCTGCTGCGGTAATTCCCTGAATTGCACTCCTTTCCTTGTAATCCATTTTAAATATAGTTTTGCTCCTTTCAATTGTGTACTTTTTAAAATGTTATTTTTATTACTCTTCTAGAATCTATGAATCTATGAGTGGAAGGGACCTCGAGAGGTCATCGAGTCCAGTCCCCTGCCCGCATGGCAGGACCCAATACTGTCTAGACCATCCCTGATAGACATTTATCTAACCTACTCTTAAATATCTCCAGAGATGGAGATTCCACAACCTCCCTAGGCAATTTATTCCAGTGTTTAACCACCCTGACAGTTAGGAACTTTTTCCTAATGTCCAACCTAGTCTTATGACTCTTTAGCACTTCATCATTTACCTTTGTGCAGATGTATGTCATTATGCTATTTAATTTATATTTTAATAGCAAATACTCATCGAAAATATTTATAAGTAAATAGTTGCTAGAAGTTTTAGCAATGACATCTGAGTTTCTAGTATAGCACTTGCCGTATATATGCCTCCCATTGATATCCGCATGAGCTGTTCATATGTTCTGGAGGAGATTTATGATCAAATACCTGTCAAAGTGAAATGAAAATCCTAATTTGGCTAAAAATATCCATTTAAAAACAGTTAAAAGATTTAGAAAGGTAAGTTAATGGATGAATACAGTAAAGGAAATGTATATTTAAACTACAGGATCCAACCTAATAGTTTTGTAAAACACATTTAAAAAAATCTTTTATGGTATTAAGAATGTAATGCTATTTGGGAAAAAGAATAAATCAGTTGTAGAATAATTCACTTGCTTTTTTAATTGAATGTCATCTCCATGCTGTCCCTAGTTGTAACATGGCTTGCCCATACAATGACAATTTAATATTGTAAAGTTATTTCTTCCAGTTCATAACATGATTTAATAACTTTTAGATGTTTCTTTTTGTACAAAATCTAGATACCATGGAGAAGGGATAATTAAGAATGTGCCTTGTATGTATCTTCCTGAATTCTGAGCCAAGTGGAACAAAGCATTACAATCCTACAAGCTGTTAGAAACAACTGACCAGGTAATACAGTAATTTTATATAAAGCTTTTACTACAGGTTTTAACTTTGTGTTGCCTGATTAGATATGGAAACATTCACCTCTAGGTGTCCAGTATCAGAAATGTAGGGCTGGAAGGGACCTCAAGAGGTCATCTTGTCCAGCCGCCTGCATTGAGGCAGGATAAATTACCTAGACCATCCCTAACACGTTTGTCTGGCCTGTTTTTAAAAACCTCCGGTTATGGGAATTCCACAACCTGCATTGGAAGCCTTTTCCAGTGCTTAACTATCTTTATAGTTAGAAAGTTTTTCCTAATATATAAACTAAATCTCCCTTGCTGACGATTAAGCTCATTACTGTTTGTTCTACATTCACCGGACATGGAAAACAATTCATCACCATCCTCTTTATAGCAGCCCTCAGCGTATCTGAAGACTGTTTTCAAGGCCCCCTGCACTCTTCCTTTCTCAAGACTAAACATGCCCAGTTTTATTCACCTTTCCTCATAGGTCAGGTTTTCAAAACCTTTTGTCATTTTTGTTGCTCTCCTCTGGACTCTCTCCAATTTAGCCACATCTTTCCTAAAGTGTGGCACCCAAAATTGGACACAGTACTCTAGCGGAGGCATCACCAGTGCCAAGCAGAGCAGGACAATTACCTCCCATGTCTTACATACAACACTCTTGTTAATATACTCCAGAATATTAGACATTTCGCAATTGCAACACATTATTGACTTGTATCAGAGGGGTAGCCGTGTTAGTCTGAATCTGTAAAAAGCAACAGAGGGTCCTGTGGCACCTTTGAGACTAACAGAAGTACTGGGAGCATAAGCTTTCGTGGGTAAGAACCTTACTTCTTCAGATGCAAGACTGAAGCTTATCTGCAGCTTGTGATCCATTATAGCTGTGGTTTTCAAACTTTTTTTCTGGGTACCCAGTTGAAGAAAACTGTTGATGCCCATGACCCAACGGCGCTGGGGATGAGGGGTTTGGAGTGTGGGAGGGGCTCATGGCTGGGGCAGAGGGTTGGGCTGCAGGGGTGAAGGCTGTGGAGTGGGGCTGGGAATGGGGGCTTCAGGGAATGGGAGGGGGCTCTGGGCTAGGGTGTGGGAGAGGGTCAGGGCTCTGGGTTGGGGGTGCAGCGTCTGGGGTGGGACCAGGGATGAGGGGCTTGGGGTGCAGGAGGGACTACGGGTTTGGAGGGCTCAGGGCTGGGGTACAGGAGGGGGTGCAGGCTCTGGGGTGGGGCTGAGGATGAGGGGTTTGGGGTGCAGAAGGGGCTCTGGGTTTGTGGGGGGGCCTCAGGGCTGGGGCAGAGGGTTGGGGTGAGGGAGGGGATCAGGGCTCTGGGGCCAGGGATGAGGAGTTTGGGGTGCAGGAAGGGGTTCCAGGTTTTGGGGGGCTCAGGACTGGGGCAGGGGATTGGGGTGCGGACTTACCTCTGGTGTCTCCTGCTCAGCAGTGCAGCCGGGGTGCAGAGGCAGGCTTCCTGCCTGTCCTGGCACCACGGACTGCGCCGCACCCAGAAGCAGACAGCAGCAGGTCTGACTCTCACCCGCAGGCACCCCCTTCCAATTCCCATTGGCTAGTTCCCGGCCAATGGGAGTGCGGAGCCGGTGCTCGGGGCAGGGGCAGCGCGCGGAGCCCCGTGGTCCCCCGGCCCAAAAGCCGGACCCGCTGCTGGCCGCTTCCAGGGTGCAGCCCGATGTCGGAAAAGGTAGGCACTAGCCTGCCTTAGCTGAGCAGCACCGCCAATGGGACTTTTAACGTCCCAGTCGGCGATGCTGACCAGAGAAAGGCGACCCAGTGCCTTACACGCCGCGACCCAACCCACACTTTGAAAAACATTGCATTATAGTATAATGTATGAATGTTGACAGTGACTAAAAATATTACCATCTAATGGCTTCAACAATCTCTGCTCATTTCTCAGTCGACAAGGGTTCATATTACAATGAATACTTTTAATTGTACCACTGGTGACAGCCTCAGAGATGCCAAGGATTGAATGGACAGAGAAGAACGTCAAACGAGATCCCTCTGCTTCGGGGGAGAGGCACATTAGAGGGGCAGTCGGGGGAAGCTTGCACAGACACACTTTGTACATTGGATAAAATAAAAAACAATTAGACCATTCCTCTGAGCTTTTGTTTGAAATTTAACTGGAGGCTGTGCTGATATTTCAGATATGCCAAACTCAGATACTGTGGACAACCTAGTGATTGATTTGGTATTGCATTGTACTAGCACAGCAGCATGTGTTTGGCCCACTTCTGATTTTAGATCTAGTGCCAATCTCACTAAAAGTTAGGAACACAAAATATGTGATAAACAGTCTCTGAAGAGGAGGATCAGCTCTTACCTGTTAAAAGGTGAATTGCAAGGGAAACAAAAAATGTTTGGTTAGCCTTTAAGTATAAAAGGAGGCCTCCATTTAACAAAATTTAAAGTCCTCTACTAAAACAGGAAAATTAGCATTCAATATTTCTAGTACTAAAAAAAGCAGAAAATAGCTTTTTGGAACTACTAACATTGAGGCTGGCTTGTACAGAATAAAGAGCACAATCTGTTTCCTTTGCGGTCCATCTTCCATAGCGGCCGGTACCGTCATGCATCGAGGAAGCACTGAAAAACAGACTGTGTGGCAGACCTTGGGTATAACAAAATAAAGATGACTAACAGTTCCCTTTAGAGTGTTTCTTTGAGTCAGTTTTTCCTCACACACCCATTTGGCCACATATGAGCTGGGAGGCTCGAGAGGGCAAGTAACAGATCCAGCCATTCCATCTTTGTAGGAACCACTGTTACGTAAAAGAAAATATTAAACAGAAAGTTGATTAAATGCTACAAGTAAATACTGTGCACACACAAAAAGCAGGGCACAACTGTATTATTTCTGTTTTAGAGTAGCAGCCGTGTTAGTCTGTATCCGCAAAAAGAACAGGAGTACTTGTGGCACCTTAGAGATTAACAAATTTATTAGAGCATAAGCTTTTGTGGGCTACAGCCCACTTCTTTGGATGCATATAGAATGGAACATATATTGATTGTATCAAAAACAGACTCCAAAAAGAGACTGCTGAGCTGGAATTGATATGCAAACTAGATACAATCAATTTAGGATTGAATAAGGACTGGGAATGGCTGAGCCATTACAAACATTGAATCTATCTCCCCTTGTAAGTATTCTCACTTCTTATCAAACTGTCTGTACTGGGCTATCTTGATTATCACTTCAAAAGTTTTTTTTCTCTTACTTAATTGGCCTCTCAGAGTTGGTAAGACAACTCCCACCTGTTCATGCTCTCTGTATGTGTGTATATATATCTCCTCAATATATGTTCCATTCTATATGCATCTGAAGAAGTGGGCTGTAGCCCACAAAAGCTTATGCTCTAATAAATTTGTTAATCTCTAAGGTGCCACAAGTACTCCTGGTATTTCTGTTTTAGTCCTCATTCCTTTGTGTGGGTGTGGCATTTGGGTGATGGCAGCATAAGGTGTTTTACACATTGGGTACTTGGTTTGATCACTGAATAAGTACATTTTTCAAGCACTATCTCCCACTATGTCTGACATAATACAGCATGACAGTGGCCTTGTGAAGACCACTGCAGTTAAGGTGCAACACACACCAAGCATAGCTTCCTTCCCCTCTCCCCCAGTTGTATTTACTAATTATTGATGTTTGCCAGCTGAGTGACTCTTCTGCCCTGAAATACTGCCACCCCTTATGGTCTTGGACATAAAGCATCAAATCTCAAAAGGTGGTTTTAATAGGCATTCCTGTCAAAACATACGTGCTCTATTAGAAATCTGCATTTAGGGCAATTGTTTGCAAAATCAGTAGATATCTTTTTGAAATCTAGCCTGGAATGTAATTGCTAGAAATACAATACAAAAAACTTTATAGAGTTATCAATATATACCTCTACCCAGATAGAACGCGACCCGATATAACCCGAATTCGGATAGAACGCGGTAAAGCAGCGCTCCAGGGGGGCGGGGCTGCACACTCCAGCAGATCAAAGCAAGTTCGATATAATGCGGTTTCACCTATAACGTGATAAGATTTTTTGGCTCCCGAGGACAGCGTTATATCGGGGTAAAGGTGGATGTATCATTTGGGGAAAGAGATGTTTCCTTTTTAAAAACTACATTCAAGTCAACATGACTAACTTGTTTAATCAATAGATTCTTCATTTTTAATTCTGGTTTTTGCTCACTTAGCTGTCAGTGTGGGCTATCAAAAATGCCCCCCATCTCCATCTTGCATCCAGGGTCATAAAAACCCTTATGGATGTGTGTTCACCCTTGCCGAAATAAGTATTAATGTCTTATATAAAGCAAGGTCTCTGAAATACAGTAACCTTCTACCTACAAAAATTAAAACTGATCTGGTTTTGACACATATGTGAATTTCTGTGGTACTAGTTGTACTTTGGGGACACTTTGGATTTGATTGTAAATCCCAACTTTGTGGCTCAGACCTGCTTCTTCTGACATCGTGATTGAGAGCACCAGCACATGAGACTTGCATGTGCTACACTGGTTTGCTGAAGCTCATTTTCTATTAACTCTGTATATGCTACATCCCTTCACTTTAATAGAGAGGATATTTCAGGACGTACATTTTGTAGATCATATTCAAAGATTTATTCCTCTCCAGAATTCTCATTGTTGGATAAATATGTATTTTATTTTAAAGCTTCGGTTTCCTTTCTTACAGGAATCCAGAACATTCCAAACTAATTGTGTTTATCCAGCCAGAACGGGGAGGAATGCTCCTACAGTCAGTGGTGGAGATAGCATTGCTTACTACCCGCATAAATCTAATCACTGAAGCAAGGTCTGGAATAAAGATGCTAAAGAATTATACACCAATGCCAAACATAAGAGGAAAGTTGTATACATATAAATCATATGCAGCTGTCTCCTAAGTTCATTTTAAAATTAAAGAATTTGAGATCTTTAATATTGTAAGTGTGCTGTATATAGAGAATGTAAATGTGTAGTTTAATTTCATGTACTTCTGTTCATAGCAGAAATAATGACTAAGCATAACAGTACAGTTTGCTATTTTTAAAGAAAACTGCTTTTTTTTTTTTAAATCAGAGCCCGAGTTGCCATCAAAACACATAAAATAGAGTCAGACTTCATTGTAACCTAAAGATACAGTGATGTGTTCTGTAACACACTTTCACTTCATTTACTGTGTAAAGTTATTGTGAGAATTTTGTTATATAGCAATTGTCAATTAGTATGTTCCTCTCAGGAACTAGTCAGTATTTAGAATTTAAGCATAATTTGATTTTGCCCTAGAATTAAAAGCATTGGCATTTTAATAATAAAATATCTCATTAGATTAGTACATCTCAAAGTTATTTTATCTTGAATAAAACAGGCAAGGTATTAACAACTGTAAATGCGTTTATTACAAGTTACTTTGCAAGAATAATTAGCTAACATTTAAACATCAATTTTGTAATCAGTCTTCATTGGCCAAGATTTTTTTAAAATTATACTTCAACAATTATGCAAAAAAAGCTTATGGAACTTTTTCCGTAAATCCGGATTTCTGTAAGTCAGGTTTGCGTAACCTGGGGAGCATCTGTATTCCTAAATCCATATTGAGGTAAATCAGTAAAGTAGTTCCGTTCTTAAGTATCTTGCCAAACTGGAGCCTAGCCTAATCAGTGGCTGGAAATGCTGACAACTGTCTTGGTGGCTATTCCAACTACAAATAGTAAAAGCCTATTTGTGAGTTAGAACTGGCTGTACATGATGCTCTGCTCACATTACCGATGTGTTTTACCTCTAGCAGTTAGGGACTGTAACTACTAAGAAAGCAGTACTTTTTTCTCTATATTCCATTAGTTTCACAAGCCCCACCATCCAAGTCAGTATTTTCTGTATTTTGAGTTTAAAAAAATGTTTTAACAGCAAGAACATCCATGCCCTAACGGATGCCATTTGGTTGATACAAGAACAAGTGTAAGTGTTTCAAACTGGATTGCAATGTTTTAGTACGTGTAGTAACAACTGGAGGATTCAATCACACCTAATGTGCATTTTAGGGGAAGTAAGTCTCCCTTGTGACTCTCTTTGGACTAAATAAAACATTAATCTGCTAGTTTAACACAAGAATACATAGTATTAATCACTTTTTAAAGGAATTATCAATAGTTTTACACTATTGTTGAGATGGTCTGTTCCTTTTTGTATGCTATTTTGTCGCATTACACTTTAAAATAGTGCATTTCTTTAATGCATGAATATGATTGTATTACCTCCTTATTTTATCACAAATGTTTTACACCAGTCATCTCTGTATTATGTATATAATCATTTTGGTTTAAAATACCTTAATAAACTGTTAGAATGCGGTGTTGTGTTCACCAGAGTCTTTTTTCCTTTGTTTGTTTTTAGCTTTTCAGAAGGTTTATTCATATGCATTTTGGAAACAGGTTTTAGATTCTTCCAATCAGCCAGTAGTTCCTTTTGCACTTCAGCAGGTAGTTCAGAAAAGATATTTGGGTCAACATTAGGAGGAAATACAATTCTTCCTTCTCCTGACGCTTGCTCTCTCTGACCTTTATCCTGAGAGGCTGCTCCAATGGGCTGCTCTTGTCTGTCTGAACTATGGGGCTGAAGAAAATGTTGACTTTGCATATTCAATACAATTGAATCAGTGCTATTGAAATTCAGTGATTCCTTAGGTATTTGTTCCATACAGTCATCTATTAGTGCACTTTCAGGGTACTCAGGAGGATCCTGTAGACTGAGAATACAATTAGGATTAGGCCTGTGTACCATGGCTGTCTCCAGCTCACTGGTAGATTGGAAATGTTCACTGCATACCAGACTGCTCATACTATGATCTGCTCTTCTGGAATTCGGGGTAGTGTGCATTTGTTCTTGTGCAAAAAATGGTAGTGCTCCTTTAGAAAAAGGTAATGGCTGACTCAAAACATTCTTTGTATGGATCCTTTGCCCAGTTTTGTCAGAAATAATTTCCTCTTTAATGTCTTCTGGAAGCTGACTGAAGACCTCCTGGTCAATGCCAGCAGGAGGCAAATGAATTGGGGAAACAGGAATTCCATATTCTTCTGCGCAGCTTTTGGTTTCTAGTGAAGATTCTCTAGTTCTTGTATTTCTAATTCTTCCATCTGGTACAAAACTGCAGGAGTTCACCTGGTCTTGTGGAACACCTTCCATTTTCTGCAGCATAAAATATATTATTTAGCTACATAGTGCATATGAAAAATATTAAATGATTAAAAGGATATCTGTCATAAATACAATTTTATTAATAGTGATCCCTTAAATCCTACTTCCACATACAAAAAAGTTACCACTGAATCATCTGGCAACAAAGATTTTTCTATTCAGCACAGTACTTAGAGATAGATAACAGACCAGATATTTAAAGAGTTTTGCTGGGGTTGTAAAACAAGTAATTTCAAAAGCAACATTAAACTGGGCATCTCATCGTACCATCTGGCAGCCCAGCTAATCAAAGTCTTTCAATATGCCTAAATACTTATTTACAGACTGTATCATTAAAGTTAGCATCTAAAGAAAATTTAAAAGGGAAAAACTTTCAAACCAAATTATGTTGCACCCAGAAAAAAAGAAAGAATGAGCCTGTGTGTACAAGTAATTATCAAAGAAAAGAGAAGATATGTGAGCATGGACACCTGAGAAGTCAGGGTAGGGAGGTAACAGAGCTGAATGTCTGCATATAGGTTGTATGACATATTGTGGAAGGAAGGTGGTCAGCTATGGACAAATGTGCCGTGAAAAAAGGAGAGAACCAAGAACAAAGATATAAACTTTGCACATCTCACCTAAGGGAGTAATTGCATACCAAATACTGATAATTATAGACACAAGTGTCTGTTTGCCTGTATAAATGTGTGACTTGTAGTCATGATTACTTGTATGTAACCAAGGACCAGAATTTTGATAATTTAACCTCAAGTTTCTAAATACAAAGTAGATCTTAAATGATAAACAGTACAGTGACTCAGAAATACTAAGAATTAAAAAATATAGACATCTGGGGTGAAGTGCTAGCCCCACTGAAATCAATGTGAGTTTTACTAGTGTCTTCAATGAGGCCAAGATTTCAACCATGGTTTTTGTCAACTTCCCTATATTTCCATTAAAAATATATATATATATATTAAAGTAACACATCATAGTTGATTTAAATGATATAAGTGAGATTTGAAGATGAAATCCTACCCTTAACTCACCCTGTTCAGTCTAGGAATTAAAAGCATATGGAAAGTAAAGCAATCCAGTGTTTGAAGACACACTTATAGCTAAGTGCACAAAGGTAAATTAAGGGCACTTTAACAAGATTTAATTCAAGCTAAACAGTTAAAGATATTTTATGAGGGAAAGAAGTATTTAGGTCACTTCAGTTCCACCATGACCTATAGATCACACATTACAGAAGCACTGAGGTTTTCAAAAATGGATGCTGAAAAATCAGGCTCTTAACTTCATATTTAGGCATCTAATTAAGTGGACAGATTTTTCAGACGTGCTGAGCAGGCAGAAGAGCTCCCATTAAAGTCTGTGGGAAACCTAATTTTAGGCATCCACTTCTGAAAACCTTGGCTCCACAAGCTCATCTCTCTTTCTGACAGTAATAAAGTTTCATTGCCTAGTATTGTCCCATTCAAGACATGGCAATTGAAAACAAAGAAGTATCCTTTGTTTATGCTATCCCAAAGAAGGATAGCATAAACACATCTTGTAAATAGCTGGTACTCAGGAGAGCCCACAGAGTTCTTCATTTTTACTACCTAGATGATAAAACTTCTTAAAGTATTTAAAAATCATTAAGGATACTAGAGTATATATATGTGTGTGTGTGTCTCAGTCTGAATTTAATGCACTTGATTTGATTGACAGTTTTTAATAATCTTCAACTTACTTTGCCAGAACTTGAAGGGGGTGACAACCGAGTTAAATAAAATCCTATGGATCCTTTGGTGAGGCTAGGCAGAGCTTTAAGATTTGAGAAGCAGACACTCAGAAGGGTAAGATGAAATGGCATCTCCACTTTTATCATCTTTCTAAACAATTTCATAAGGATACCAACCAGTGGGTCCACAACATCATAGTTTCCTGAACATGAAATGTAAACAAACAGCAGAATTAATTTAAACCTTTCTATAAGGGGCTAAATGGAATTAAGGTTTGTGCATGAGAGAGTCTGGACTTTCAACACTTTGCACTAATGCAAAATAAGTTGGCATTTACCCAAATTCAGGGGTCTCCATTTTCTGTGGCCCGCGAGCCCCTCACAGCCCCCCCGCCCTCTCCCGTCTTTACCAGAGCGGCTCCGGCTGGACGTGCACCAGGAGCAGGGCATGCTCCCTGCCTGCCTGTCTGCCCTGCGCAGCTCTGGGAAGAGGCTGGAATATGGGGAAGGGGGGGCAGAGGGGCTGTGTGTGGCTGTTGCTTCAGGCAGTGCCCCCAGCAGCTCCAATTGGCCAGGAACAGGGAACCGGGGCCAATGGGAACTGCTGGCGGCACTGCCTCAAGCAACAGAAACACACAGCCCCTCCGCCCCCCCTCCCCACGTTCCAGCCTCTTGCGGGGGCAGGGCAGGCTCACCAGGCCAGATCCTGCACCCCACACCCCAACTCCCTGCCCTGAGCCCCGACCACACCCCACACCCCTCCTGAACCCCCTGGGGGCAGGGAGGGGGCAGAGTTGGGGTGGGGATTTCGGGGAAGTGGTTGGAATGGGGGCAGGGAAGGGGTGGGAAGAGGCGGGGCAGGAGCGGGGCCTCATGGAAGGGGTGGAGGGCGGTGGCGGCGGGAGGTGTCAGTAATGCGGCCCTCGGGCCAATGTACTAGTCCTCATGTGTTCCTCATGGTCATTTGAGTTTGAGACCCCTGCCCTAATTGGTCAATACACTGAAAAATCTCAGTTCTTAGGAAACGTGAGGGATTTTAACTACAGCTATGCCAAGTAAGGCAGCATTTATTTGATCTGAAAATAAAGAGGCTGTTAAATTTACAGTTTTTGACACTTAAAAAGGTTTTCTGAAATGAATGTTATGATTGCAAGAAGTGCCAGACTGACAACCCTAGAGACATGCCCACAGAATCTCTATAGCATAGACATTAATGGTACAAGCTCTCCTGTTCTGTCCTGCCATCTCTGTTGAGAAGTGATGTGATATTGGAAAAGTGGTCAATTTAAACAAACACAATTAAACTAACATCCTGCAAATGGAAAAGGCCTTTCTATACAACTGAGAGTAGCTCACCCTCCATTTCTATTAAATCGTCTTCAAACGGATCCAATTAATGACAATGACAATTTGTGTGATATGGCTATCTGACAACAAATATCTAGACCGAGACCACTTATTTACTTTACGCAGGAGAGTGTGGACATATCAGATGGCAATAACTTTTGGTCTCTTCCAGTCTAGACTGGATTCAGAGGTGAAACCCTTTACTAATTCCTGTCTATGATTACAGTATTTTATTAAACCCTATACTTACTGAGAGAAAACATAATGATACTGAATAGTAGTGAAGTGATTGGTCAAATATGGGGAAAAGATAAACTCCATATGAAGTGGCAAATGAATGACTGTGATCTCTATTTAGGATGGACAAACCCTGGCTTCAGGAGGAGGAAGACTGTATACGTCACACACTGTTGGATAAGGAGTGATTCAGAAAGATCCTGAAATCTTACAGCCATACAAAATTCCTTTCACTCACTCATCCCTTGCATGCAATTTCTCTCTCTTTTCTTTTTGGACAGTGATGAGTTACATTTAATTAATTTTTCAACATCAGGGTAAAAGGCAGGCAAGCATATTTTGTGCCTGGATTAGTAAACTCCCATAACAATCTTGCAAGGCTGAGTCAGATGTCCCAATTTTGGGGTCTTTTTCTTATATAGGCTCCTATTACTCCCCACCCCATCCTGATTTTTCACATTTGCTGTCTGCTCACCCTAAGGCTGAGTTAACAACTTTGTTACTTATTAAATAAAAGTTATTCCTGCCAGGAAGTCCTGTATTTTTAACATGGTTTCACTGAGGTACATCTATCACATAAAATCAATGTAATACTTTTTTTTTTTAATTTGAAGTATATGAAACATTGTTCAGAAACCTAGATTTAAAGTAACAAAGCAAAACAAAGGTTATGCTTAATACCTGCAACTTTATTGATACTAAAATTAATAGACTGATAAACCTTCTTTCCGAGAAGGAAGTCTCGTTTCACTGTTCCTATGAATGTGCCAAATACTTGGGCATCTCTACAGTTAGAGAGACCCTGGTTAAAATTTCAAACAACATATTGTGCACCAAAGTAACAACTGACCAAATACTTTCTGAAAACAAAACTTCAGAAAAGCGCTTACCTGTCCCAAATTTCTGAATGACATGAGAGGGAATAGGACACTGACGACTCTCCCGACTAAACCATTTATTAGTTGATGAAAATTTACGGATGGTTAATCTTATTGTATGTGGCTTTCTTCCATCTTTGGATATTCTGAAGAAAATTAAAGTGTGCAGTGCAATTAACATTACTGCTGCTTTACAAATACTTGATCCAATTGCTTTGAAAGTAAGTAATGTATATCTTTTTTAATCCATCAAGAAAGTGAAACAAAATAATGGTAATAGTATAGAACATAAGAAGCTTTAGCTTTAATTTCTTTCCTGCCTCATTTTCCCCAATTGATACCATCTAGTGCTTCCTAACTCACCTCTATTTATTTCTTCACATTTTTTACAAATTGTTTCAATAAATAGTTTTTGTTTTGTACTGCACACAGTTGAAGATTTATAGAAAAAAATTACTGTTTTATTCACTTAAGGAAAAAAATCTCTGCATTAATAAAGAAAGTGGTGGAAGCCCCATTGCTTGAGATTTTTAGACATGGACTGCTAGAAGTACTAGAATATAGTTCTCAACCTAGAGATGCAACCATCTTGTCCATTCCATATTGCTAAGTGGTAGTAAGGTCCCAGTATTAAAAGGCAGTCCTGGTATGTAAGAGGTTGAGAATGACTGTACTAGAAAATACATTGAAGGGAACAATTCTACCTGGCAGAGTGGAAGGCTAACATCCTCCACCCCTGTGGTGTCCTGGAACCCTGGATCCAAGCCCTGGGTTAGCACAATTTGTGTCTAGATGGAAAGCAAGTTAGGCCTGAGCCTGAATTCAAACCCTGAGCTTACACTGAAGTGTAGACATACTTGTGGTAGCTACAGTAATCAAGACAGGAGATAAGGGGAATGAATTAATTCTTCCTGTCTGTACAAAAAGAAATGGAAGTATCTTGATGATGATGTGGGAGAAGCAGAATTTGGATACTGCCTGAATGTGAGTGGTAATGGACAGGGAAGAGCTGAAGATGACCCCAAGGTTATAAGCCTGTAACAAGAATGATGATGGTGTTGTCTGTGGTTGTGCAGAACAGTAGAAGGCAAGATAAGGAGTTCAGTTTTGGCCACGTTAAGCTTAAGCTGATGGCACAACATTAAAGAGATGTCAGAGAAACCAGCTGAGATGCAAGGTCAAACCAAGGGAAGCAGTCAGAAGTGGAGAAGAAGATGTGAGACAGAAGCATAACAATAGTAACTGAAACCATGCAAGTGGATAAGATCACTCAGGGACAGGGTAGAGAGAGAAAAAGAGGAGGCCTATGAAATCACCAAGAGAATAGAAGAAAGACTGGAGGGGACACACAAAAAGATACAACGCAGGATGATCAGAGATGTAGGAGAATGAGGAGCTGTCAGAATCATGAAACCTAAAAGGAAGACAAGGCCAGTTAGAAAGCATGATCAGCTGTATCAAAAGCAACAGAAAGGTTGAGGAGGTAAGAATGGAAGAGCTTACAGACATTGGTGAGAACAGTTGCAGTGGAGAGGGTGAAAGCCAGACTTGGGGAGAGGAGCAGGATACAGTTGCAGGAGCAGAATTTGAGGCAACAGTTGTAGAGGGCATATTTCACAAGTTCAGAGATAAAGGGCAGAAGGTAATGAGGAAGTAGTTAGAGAGGCAGGTGGGGTTGAGGGGCAGCATTCTGAAGATAGGAGAGACCACAGTATGCTCTGCAAAATATGAGAAACATTACATATGCCCAGTGTTTTCAGGTCACAAAATCAGTCAGCAATAAGAACAAATGAAGACAGTCACCTGTCTAAAAGATTAGCAAGTAGTTCTTCAATTTTCCTTTTAACTTCCACTTCCGATGAACATTTTTTAAAAGAATCTTCATCACTAAGGGACTGTAAGAAATGCAATAGTCCTTTTAATTTTGTGTATTACCAAGTGACCAAGCAAATTCAAAAGATATGAAAGGGAATCGCTTTTCCACATAATTCACATATTAACCTATGAAACTCATAGCCACAAAATACCATTAAGCCTAGAGCTCAGCAGGATTCAAAAAAGGATCAGACATTAATAGAGGTAACAAAAATATCCTGAGTTATAATAGTAAATATAAATAGAATTAAAATAATTTTAGAAGGAATATGAACTGCCATGCTTTACAGCATAAGCCAACCTCTAGCTATGGGGAGTTGGGGAAAAACAGAAAAAAAAAAAAAACCACTTTCCTGGGTGGCAGGATATCCCATAACTGTAGGATTTCGTGTACCTTACTCTGAAGCAGCTAGTACTGACCATTGTCAGAGACCGGATCCCAGAATAGATGGACTACTGGTCTGATCCAGTATGACAACTGCTTTGTTCATTCTCACTGGATTTCAGCTAGCTCAGCAAAACTGTACTCAAAGAGTGCAATCTTTCTCATTCTGAAAAAACTATTTTCATATGTCATTTGTACCTGAGGAGGTCCTGAGGAGGCCACAGGGGAGTCATCCTCTCCATAGCTGAGCTTTTGAATGTGCTGAGCAATTGAAACTCCTAGTTCCTTTTCTAGTATTACAGGTGAAAAGGTCTGGAGATCACGCACACTTCTGAGACCCAGCAACTCTAGGCGCTTGGTAGTTTTATAGCCAATCCCTAGATGAAAAAGGTGTGTGATAACGTGAGTAAAATTTCTTTACAAAATAATACAGTACACAGGAAAGTCATTTAAAAGATTAAGATATGCTTAGCAAGTTGTATTTATAATTTATATATTACATAAAATACTAAAAACTAATTTATTATTTGGTTAATAAACTAAAATACTTTTTCCCTATAAATTATATTTATAAGGTCTTGCCATATAAAACTAGACGTTATCAAATATAACCATTTTAATTATAGAACTGGAAGTTCTTTGAAGCAACAGTCTCAGGTAATTGAGACCCACATTTTAGGACTGAGCAAAAATTTTTTTTTCCCCCCAAAAGTATGTATGTCATTATCAATGTTTGGGTTTCAATGAAAACAGTCTGAGATTTATACATTCTTTTTAGGTATTTGCAACCCAAACGCTTTTGTGTTACCGCAAAACCAAAAGTGACATGGACTGGAGAACAGAAGTACAAACTAGTAGAGTTTCATTGACTAGTTTGAGTAAAATGCAAAAAGTAAATATAAATACAAAAAAAACCAGATTTTAAAATTCTCTCAGTTTTAAAAGTTTAGGGTGTATATTAAAATTATGAATTCTCACAATGTCTATATGAAAGATTGTGGCACCAATATCTTACCAGGCACTTTTCTGATGTGATCAAGGCTGCCTACTAGGTCCTGACAGCTTTCAGGTAAAAGAACTGTTTGTTGATTTGGTTTGAAGGTGCCAGATACTAGTTTAGATAGTAATTTGTTAGAGGCCACTCCTGCACAGCCTGTAAGACCCAATCTATTGTACATGGCTTCCCTCATCTCTGCTGCAATCTGAGATCCAATGACAAGTCTAATATGCATAACATCATGTAAATTGACAGCTGTGAAGACAAAAAAAGAGGTGGTCACTTCTCAGCATACAATGACCACTCACATCACTACAGGTCCGTTCACTAATAAGAAGATTCTTATGCTTATAACCCATTAAACTTTATGGGAAAGAGTGTGGTCTACTGTGTAGATCAAAGGGCTGAATGTAAGGACTATTGGGTTCTCTGTCTGGTACTGCCATGGAGTACGTACTTAACTTCTTTGTACCTCAGTTACTTCCTCTCTAAAATTAAAAGGGTAATACTCTAGCATCACAGAATTATGGTGAGAATTACTTAATGTTTGGAAAGCACTTTAAGGATAAATGCACTCTATAAATCTTTAAGAGATGTCAAAGAAGAATATTTAAATATCGTCATGTAACAGACTCTTGCCTCAATATAACCAAAGGAAAAAGTAAATGAATTAGAGATTTAGAATTAAACATTCGTTTAATTAAGTTAACTGGAAGGTGTCCATCTCTGTTACTCAAGTGTGAATGTTAATGAAATGAGATCTTATTAAGGCAGTTCTTTCTCAGAACTATATTAAAAATTATAGCAACAGTTGATATTAACATCTGGTCTGGTAAAAGTCAACTGCTCTTTTCCTTCATTTATGAAATGAATATAAATCTTGCTATGCCAACTGTGGGCACTTGTGAGCTAGAAGGATCCCAGTGGAGAATATGAATCAGTCCAAGTTCTACAGTCAGCCCCCAGTGACTTCAGTATAAGTCTCCCATGCAGGCATCCCATATAGCAAAACTTTGCTTTGTTTTTCGGTATACATTAAGGATATTTTGGATGAAAATTTCAATTAGCTGACACACAGTAGCCAAACACTTAAAACTAAATTTTCATGAACTAACATGAAAGCTGTTACTTCAAGTTCAATCAAACAAGATATTTAATTCTACATTTAACTGTCTTTTTTGAAGACCACATAAACAAAAGAATCTATTCTCCCAATTCACTGTGCATTAATATACGAAGGTACAAATTCCACTCAAAATAATGAGATTCTCATATGAAATTATGGTATATTGCAAGTCAGTTCCTGGCAGTCTAACCACAGGGAAAATAAAAGTTTTCCAGGCAATCCTGTATTGAATAGGAAATGTGTTTTCATGCAGTTTTGAAAGTTTAATAAATTCAGTTAAAGATAGAATTTAGTCCAAAAAGTAATAATACTTAATACAATATTTTAGCAAAATAGGGAATAACCACTCACTTTGATTATTATACACATGACCAGACACAGACACTTTGGAACAGCCATCTCTTTGCAGCTGTGCTAGTCTCTTCTCTACCAACTCTGTGATATCCACAAAATTTTCATCAAATCCAAGTCTTTCTACCAGTGGACTGAATTCTTCCAACAGCTCTGTGGAAAAAAACAAAGTACATAACTGGGACAGGTATGACAAACACAGGCATATCTTTAGACTACTGTATCCACTTTATAAATGTTAACTGTATCTCTCATTGTTGTATGTACTGTTGATGTAGCCGTGTTGGTTCCAGGACATTACGGAGACAAGGTGATCTGAAGAAAAGCTCTGTGTAAACTTGTCTCTCTCACTACCAGAAGCTGGTCTGAGTAAGATATTACACCTCACCCACCTTGTCTCAACTGTATCTCAGCGAGCCAGGGACTGTATGCTGGCTGGTGGAGAAGGTTACCGAGCTCCATCCAGGATCTAAAATTGCTGGGGGGCATAATTACTAGACTCTGGGACAGGTAAATTCTTACAGAAAGGTACCAACCCCATGATGAATTGCATATACTGGTTCAAACCAAGCCCTGCTTTTGATCCAACAAATTGACATGACTCTTTAACCAAGATGGAGACCCTCCTTAAGTGTTTGAAAGACTGGAACCCAATAGGGTCTGTGACCAAATGCACCCCTGTATTCACTGCCTATACACCACTGAAATAATCTTTGTACAAAATATGCCTTGTGAGGTATCACTTGAAAACTAATAACTTGTTGGTCAATAATGTCATGGTGAAAAACATGTAATAACATTATATGTAAAGTTATGAACATAAGATGAAGTTTTGACTGAAATGTGTTTACTGCACAAGTCTGGGGAGAGAGTAAATCAGTTTCTTGAAGATGAAGGACAAACTGATGCTTCTAGCCCTGTGTCATCAAAGTCAATTGGCAATTCCTGGTCAAGTGGCCATTCTTTGGCAGCAGAGGGGGGCAGAAACAGATGGATTTGTATTTTAACAAACATGGAACCTCTTTCACCACAAGACCCCATGTCTCCATCCTCAGAACTGGAAGGAACTTTATCTAGGTGTAACCCACAGGAAAATGCATTTCAAAGGGTGACTGGACTATAAAAGGGAGGTTGAAAAACACCCCAGGTACTCTCTATCCCTCTCTCTCTCGCTCTTTCAGAAGGCAAAGTAACCAGCCTTTGGGCGGGGTTCTGACCTGAGAATTTGTTCAGCCCAGTTGCTGGGAACATGTGGTACGGATTTCACCTTGAACCATGTCTAGTTTGTTAAGTTTTAGTTATTAGAAAGCATTTAAGCTTTATTTCTTTTGTAGCCATTTGTGATTTCAATATACCTCTACCCCGATATAACGCGACCCGATATAACATGAATTCGAATACAACGCGGTAAAGCAGTGCTCCGGGGGGAGAGGGGGGAAGGGGGCGGGGCTGTGCACTCCGGCGGATCAAAGCAAGTTCGATATAACGCGGTTTCACCTATAAAACGCAGTAAGATTTTTTGGCTCCTGAGGACACCGTTATATCGGGGTAGAGGTGTACCTTATACTTGTACTCTCTTAAAGCCTCTCTTTGAAATTAAATAAACTTGTTTTATTATTTAATCAAAACTAATCCAGTGATATCTTTAAACTGAATTGTTTAGTAACTCTAAAGTACCATACTGTCGTACATTGATCCCTTACAGGGGCAACAGATCTCTAGTATCTGAACTGTCCAGGAGAGGGCTGGGCATTACAGAACACAAGTTTCTGGGGAAAATCCGGGACTGGAAGTGTGTTGGTGTCACTCTGTAAGTGGTAACCAAGGCTGCTGGAAGCTAGAGTGTAGCTGGCATATTGCTGACAGGCTGCTGGGGTCAGAGTTGCTGGACCAGGACAGCAGCTACACAGACACGAAGGGTGTTACCTACATGCTACAGGGCTGTTTGTGGGACCTAAGCAGCAAAGCATTGTGAGGCACCCAAGGTTGCAAGGCAGGAGGTGACACCCTTTACTAGTCTGGATTGCACCCTGGAATGGCATGGAGTCTCCATAAGGAGAATGGGGGTATCTCTAGTAAGCTAAAGTATGCGTTTAGACTTGTTATTGTTTTATTATGTTTTCTCTGTAATATTTTTGTCCTAAAATAAATGTACTGTGCTTTGCATATGGCTGTTTGGTCTCTGGTAAGTCACTGTCTTAGCCCTTGAGAGAGAGCTGAGTTAGGGAAGACCTGTGGGAATAATCACAGTGAATTGCAGGATGCTGCAGCCTAAATGTCAGGTCTGGAGGGAGAGGGATGCAGGTCCCGGTCTGGAAAGAGGTGGTGGCTAGATCCCTGATACTTAAGGGAACATCCCTTGAGCAAACTACACAGGGAGTCAGAGGTGCAGTTGATCTGAAATTGTGACAATAACCACTTAGTGTAATAATGTAAACTTGGGACTTCATATTCTCTACAATCCACAGTGGATTTCCCACTTAACTAAATGAGAAATTTGCACAGAACTCAAGAGGAGAATATAGCCGCAAGGTAATACTAAAATTTATTTATTCAATACCTTATTCTCTCTTCAGCACTCAATGAGAAAAATCTGCTTCCCTTTAGGCCACTGCTATTTTGCCGTTTGATTTACTTCCTTTCTCTGCTCCTTTCCCTCTTCTCTTTGTGAGTTTTCAAGTTTTTAACTTCTGTAATTCTTTCCCTGCAGCAACTCCAAATTCCCAATCCTGTGGACTTCATTATCAACCCCTTGAAGAAGATTAACAAGGGACAGGGGAGTTCATACTTCTGAGTCACTGACTCAGGCTATCTGCAGTCTCAGGCAGATGTCATGACATCAGTTTCCCCTCAGTTCATTTTTGGAAGGTTCTCTCTGCAGCCATGATGCCTTGAAACTTACCTTTCATTTGAAAAATATTAACATTAAAGATTCTGCAGAGTCCTAGTATGTCATTGTCAAGGCTGGATCCCCACTTTGAACTTTAGGGTACAAATGTAGGGGCCTGCATGAAAACTTCTAAGCTTAACCACCAGCTTAGCTCTGGTTTT